AGCTGCGAGGGCCGCACAATGCCACTTGTGGCTTTAATTAGAGATTGTGGTTTTATCCACAAGAACAATTAAAGCAGAGGCATGTTATCTAATGGTAAAAATATTTAGCATCCACAAGTAAACTTGATCTACATAAAATAGACATGCATTCAGATGTGGTATGCAATGTTTGGTGAGGTTTATTAGGACACCTGCAATTTACAAGTGCATTCTGAGCACTTAACCATTGTTATATAATTGGTTGTGTCATATAAATAACTCATTCCAACCGCTGTTTAAGAAACTAAGCCTGGATTTCTGCCAAATTTTACCACTGTACAGAAGAGGGCAGTATTCTGACCTCTGCTTGTGGTTTTATGTTTTTTTTAATCTACACATGCAGGATGCCACCATGTATTAGTACGCCTCTTTTATATAAATGACGTTCCAGCATCACAGTAACCGCTTCCTTATCTCTCTGTTGTTGCAGGACTGGCGTACGGCCTCATGAGTATGTCAACGCTTCAGACCTTCCTCCATCGTGGGACTGGAGGAACGTCAACTGGAAGAACTACGTGACCGTGACGAGGAATCAGCACATCCCCCAGTACTGCGGCTCCTGCTGGGCCATGGGAGCCACCAGCGCGCTGGCCGGTAACCTCTGAAGTAGAGAAACGACGACAACGCTCAGGTTTTCTGCTAAAAGCTCTGTTCTTGTGTTAAGATCGTATCAACATAAAGCGAGGTGGAGTGTGGCCATCAGCCTATCTGTCTGTCCAGAACGTGATCGACTGCGGGAGGGCAGGCTCTTGTTTTGGAGGAGACCACCTGAGGGTGTACGCCTACGCCCATAAAACGGGGATACCTGATGAAACGTGCAACAACTACCAAGCTGTCAATCAGAGTGAGAAACCTTCCATTCTTCAGACTCTCCTCAGTGTTTCAACAAGAACCAGAAGCAGACAAAGGTTTACAGTTTCTTATAGAAACAAGACATTTTTCAGGTGTATTGATGTGTTTCTAATAGTTTGGCCGACTCTAAATCCAGCATTCTTTGACTCTGATCAAATCTGTGGAAAATGTGGTCATTTTTAGATTTTTTCTGCTGTTTTTCAACTTACTTTGTTTCCAGATTCATGTTGTTATGTTATGATTAAATCATACCACCTTTTATAATATTATTTGTTCTTATTCATAAAAAACAGGTCGGAGCAAATGGAAATGCTAGCATTAAATTAATACACAATGATACAGATAGTTTTTCATTTCAAATGCCAAGACAATAAAAAAAAAATTATATCTAAATCTCACAGGAGAGAAACAATAAGTTTAATAAAAAGGTCTACAATGCTTTATTGATATAACTGATATAACATTTAGGTTTTTTCCTGCTGAAACAGACTCTATGTTTGAAAAGTAATCAGAAAAAAGTGAAAAAAGCCATGTGTGCATTCCTAGAAGGGAGACTTTTAAAACATTTTAAAATAATCAAGAGAAAACTGAATATAGTTAAAGGAGATTTATTCAGATAATTCAAGAAATGAAGCAAATAGCCTCACCAGAAGGAAATTAGTTCATAGATTTAATTAAATGTGCTTATGAAACAGCTGCAAGATTTATATGAGTTTAGAACAATGGAAATATAAATATTATGCCGAATCAAAAAGAAATTAGAATTGGATAAACCCTGTGAGAGTGACTCCTTCAGGCTCTAGATTCTCTGGACATTTGGGGCGTTACCTTTATTTATATTCAATTATAATTATGTTTGGTTAGCATTAGAATATTAACCATCATGCTTTTAACTTTGTCTAATATTTTCAACAAGCTCTTGATGATATAAACAAATCAAATCATTAAAAGGTGTGTCTATTAGGAGGGCTGTCAGTGCCAAACTAATGACTCTCTCCTCTTGTTGACGGGTTCTATTTGTTGTTTTGTGTTCCTTTGAAGTTAAAATGTCACACTTGCACAACTATATTCTCTCAATAGAGAAAAGATGTTTTCCGTATCCTGTCAGTCAAGGTTGTCTAGTCCTTTCGTAGATATTTACAGAGAAAGAGCCTCAAAGTTAATTTCTAAACCTCCATTTTTTTTTTATATTAGGATTATATACTATTATATGTTATAATTTATAATAATGATCCAATATATATTTTATGATCATGAAAGAAATCTTTTTTGCATATTTTTTTTCTTATATTTATGCCAAATTTCTGAAGCCCTAGCGCCACCTAGGGGAGTGCAGCTGCAATGTCATTAAAAACATATAAGCTTTAATAAATATTCATTATTACAGAATCAGTGATTCAAATAAAAATGGATAATAGATATTGTTTCTTTTATTGCAGAGTTGATGCACATTTTATATTATTTTATATTATTATTGATTTATATATATATATAATATATATATTATTAAAAAAATCAATTTTATTTTTTAAAGGTGTATTATTATTGTGCATAGCATGTAATATAAATTCAGTACATAGGTTCCTCAGTATAAATCTGGATAGGATAATTATTAACAGATTTTGTAGGGGCAGAAACAAGTTTTACTTCAACCGACTCATTTTGGAGTAGGTGTTTAAAAGTCAAACATAAAACAGATTTCTGTCATTTTATTACTGCCACATCTTCAGATAAATACTTCATTTATGTATTTCTATGGAAGGTGCTCTATAAATAGGTATTTATTGATCCAGATCAAGGCAGGTGTGAACAATCTCCTGATCTGTTTCAGAATGCGTCCAGTTCAACCAGTGTGGGACGTGTTCCTTCTTTGATTCCTGTTCTGTTGTGAAGAACTACACGGTTTGGAAAGTTGGAGACTATGGAGAAATTTCTGGAAGGGACCAAATGAAAGCAGAGATTTACACCAACGGGCCCATCAGGTAGAAGAGCTTTCTTTCTCACAATTCGTCTCACAATTTATGTGAGACGTTTATATACACTGTTCTCACATGAATGAATATCAGGCCTTCTCTGATGAAAAGATTTTAGAAACACAATTCCAAATACCCTGTAAAGAAAGAATTAGGATATCAAGATTGAATTTATTTGATCAGCTGTATCTGCATATGGTGAAAAATTATAAGATTATAATGTGGTGAAAAAGCTTCTTACTATAATTAGAGCTGCAAGGTTCGTCACTACCATCTTTGCACATCTGAAAACAGATTCTTCTTGAAAAACGAACATACAGCATCTGTGGACATCTTCTCACAGATTTCCATGAGTTTGATGAGTGCGCTTTCATCAAAACCTTTTCATTGCATCTGTGGTTGTATTGTAGGGTCATCTTTCTGCTGGGAGGTGAACCTCAGATGCACTCTCAACTGTTCTGCTCACTCTAACAGGGTTTCTTCCTTCTAGTTAGCTGTTAAGAGCTTTGAGAACGGTATATTCAAGGTGATGTGCAGTGCTCCTCAAAAGTTTAACCTTGGTTTCATCTCAGCAGAGCTCCTTCTTCCGCCGGTTAACTGTTGTTACCTGCAAACAGGACTCCTTTTAGCTTTCCTTAAATAATTAAAATTGCCTTCTTTCATAAAGCTCACCAAACCTGGTTGTAGCAGAAGGAAAGCTTTCAAAATATAAGCAGTGAGACGTCATACAAGCCAGTGATACCTTTACAAGTGACATGAGGAGAATGAAGAGTGGCCAACCTGTAGAGAATACGAACATAACATCTGTCCGAGGGGAAAAAGAAAAGAAAAAGATGCTTATATGATAAGGAGACAAGTACCCCATTTACACTACCCTTGAAAAGCCGTGCTGAGACCGGTCCGAGCTCAGTAACTGAGATAACGTATCGTGTGTAAATGGAAAGCAAACTGAACTGAACCGAGCTAGACACAACTGAACCGAGATAACTGCAGACCAGTTCCAGAGGTGGGCCCGGCTCGGTTTTTCCCTGGCTCAGTTCTCTGATAACAAGAGCGCATGAGCAGAAAGCGTCATCTCCGTCTGGCTGCACATCCCGATTCACACTCCATTCCAGTAGTTGGTGGTAATGCCCCTCAAGAAACAGAAGAAGAACAACAACTTTTTCTTCAACTGTAAACAACAATCGAAATCTTCTCCACAAAACATTTTAAATAATGACATTTTAAATAATAACACCGAAGTACAGCAATAATAATCGAGCATATCTTTCTGAATGTGACGGGCACCGCCATTTTGATTTGCTTGATTCCCTCCTTCTTCGTCTTCTTCTTCTTGTGTTTTATGGCGGTTGGCAAACAACTTTTGGTGCATTACCGCCACCAACTGCTTGATTTCCTCCTTCAATATTGGCAGTAATACCGCAGATCGTCACTAGGAGGCGAGGAGTCGAACTGAGATAGCGTGATGTGTAAACGGTCGTTTGAACCGAGCTCGGCCTGGTTAACTGATCTGAGCGCGTACCGGTCTCGGAATGGATCGGTTTTTCAAGGGTAGTGTAAATGGGGTAAAGTTAGACCAACATTGGATGACGTGTTGTGAATTGGTGCTATATAAATAAACTAGATTATAGCATTTTACATTAAACTTGAAGAAATTGCATAAAATGTTGCAAACACATTTTCAGACATGCAGAAAACCAATTCAGCTTTTTCCTTTGTCTCTTAGTTGTGCTCTGATGGCGACTGAAAGCCTGGAGGAATACTCCGGCGGGGTTTTCTCAGAGTTTCACCCTCTCTCTCTGCCCAATCACATCATCTCGGTGGCAGGCTGGGGTGTCGACGGAGATGGCAGCGAGTACTGGATCGTCAGGAACTCCTGGGGAGAGTTCTGGGTCAGTTTATTTCACTCCTCAGCTCTAACTAGTGACCAGTGTTTGCTCTCTTCAGAAGATGAATTTGCTCTCGCATGGAGTCCTTTTTGGGTTTTATTACATTGGGGATCGTTTGTTTTCTGACAAGTCTTCCTATCAGACACTGTGTATACCGTTTGCTCTATGATTGAGGTGGTTTTGTGTTTCTTGTTTTCAGGGAGAGCACGGCTGGGCGAGAATCGTCACCAGCGCCTACAAAGGGGGAAAAGGCAACTGGTTTAACCTCGGCATTGAGAAAAACTGTGCATATGGAGACCCCATTGTGGCATAAAGTCCTCACTAGACCCCGATGAGTCGCCATCATCTTCTGATTTTTATTTTTTAACACTTTATAAATGCAATGGACTATTCTAAACCCTTTAAGAAGCTCATTTTGTCAATTTAGAGGGTTTTTTTCTGCAGTTTACATTCGCTCAGTGACAGGAATGATATCAATTCAGGGCTTTTTTCAATCAAAATCCGTTTCTTTTTTAGTTTTGTATCTGGCTGCACCAGCATTGAATTTATTGTGTTTTTGTTCCTGTAATCACCCCACAGTGTCAAGAACACACATACTGGCTCATAAGTAGACTTGCACTTTCACTAATATTTAGATCAATGTCCTTTATTAAGTGGATATCTTTAATATTTTACTACTCTTCCAATAAAGTTAGTTTGTTAAAATTGGCTTACCTCATGCTACTAATGCATTATTAATCATAATACTACTACTGCAAATTTCCCGTTTGAGGTTGGATGTGTGTTTTTAGATCACTGTGGTGGTTTAACACCTGACTGTACATAAGTTTCTCACCTTCAGAGGAAAGGAAGTTGGTTAAAAGAACAAACGCCCTGGTCTTATTAAAGTTTTCTGCACTGCCTGGAAAAGTGTGATTTTAATTTCAGTTTAAGTTCAGGTTTGGATTTCTATGAAAAACTGGAAATAAGTGAATGAATAAATATAAACAATTTATTCCTGTTTTTTTTTTTTGTCTTAACGTTAACCCCTTCCTTCTTTCTTTGTCTCCTTCTTTTCTGCCCTCTGTCCTTTTTGTCACTTCATCTCTCTCTCAGGCCTTTTTACCATCCTTTAATTCTCTTTGGGTTTTTTTTCCTGTTTCTCTTCTGTTTTCTCTTTGTCATTCTATTAATTATGTTCCCTCATTTTTCGGTTCCTTCTGTCTCCCTGTTATCCTTCTATCCCTGTGTGACGGCATCTAGTTTCTGTTCTTAAAGAGTCTTTTCATTAAATTTGTTTTGGGAACTCTGAACTCCGTGAAAGGAAATCAACTTGCTGGAGTGCAGAAACCTTCACACTCAGGCGTCTGAACAACAGTCTATAGCCCATGAAGACGGATATAAACATTTTTGTTTAGTATCAAGAAAAGTGTTGGTTTTGTTTACCGAAGGACTCTGCAGTAACTTTTACAGCCTGGTGGTGGTAGCATCATCATGCTGGGGGGTTTGGGTTCCTGAGAACAGGCCTTAAAGTCTTGATCTTTTGGCCTTAAATCAGCAGCTTAATGTTAAAGGCCCATAGAGCAATCATGCATTTAAAGGGGTTTGAAAGAAAGGAAGAGGCTAACATGAAGCTTCTAGAAAGCCGTGATCTCAACATTACTGAGAGTGGATCATTTCTAAAGCCGTGTCAGGACCAGCCTTGCTCATTCAGTCATCAGTAGCAGTAAACATAGCATTCAGACAGTTATAATGCATTTCTCTGCAAACATAAGGGGCTGGAATTCAATAATTTCAAACTTTTAACTGTTTCCTATTTAAATAAATCCAGTATAAATGACTGAATATATATGCACGGCATCTTTTAAGAAGACACCCCAAACTGCCTGACTTTCTCCTTCCACATCTTAAGCTGCATAAAGTCAATTCAAGATGCCTTACTGCAGGTTTCACACAAGGAAACACATGGTGAGCCCAGGCTCTCACATTTAAATTCAACATCAGCAGATCCTAAGATGTTTTAGCGTGTGATTACAGAACAGTATATCTTTTTTTTATTATTATTTTAATGCATCACAACAAAAATGTGTATAAATGTCTCCCGATGTGCCTGGAGAGCGACCACTCACACCTAGTGAAAGGAGGCTTGCATTGAAACTACATCCATTTAATGAGCGGGATCCTTTGAATGATACGGAATTCATATTCTGACTCTTGCTTCCATGTGTTCTTTTTCTTAGCATTTGGTTCTAATCTGTGAAGAAAACAGTTATATTTTTGTATTTTTCCATCAAACTGTGGGGAAAAGATTTCAGCTGACATTTTCTCTCGTTTGATTTGTGACCATGTAAAAAAAAAAAACATTCACCAACAGGATGATCCTTCCAACAAAAGTTGGACTTTTTGAACTTTTACACAATGCTCCCTGTGAATCTAATGGTTTAAAAATAACGCTGCAGATATTTACCAGTCATAAAAGCTATGGAGTTTTAAAAAGTGTGGGAACATGTGACATTTCCTGCCAAAAATGGAAACATATAAACATGCTTGAGCTTCCACATTTTACTTATTTTATGTTAACTACAATTGATCTAAATCTCTTAACAGTAAAAACAAATATTTGTTTAATTAATGTCTTTTAGTTTCCATATCAAAACTTTATTGTTAAACAACTGGATTATCCATACTAAATAAACCACTGAAACTTTAAAATAGTTTAATTATGCTACTTTTTTAGCAGCTTAGATTAGAGCTGTTTATGAAAATACCTGAAATATAAATTGTAAATGGGAGGAATATTGAATCCAGTGGATAAAAAGACTCACCTTTGAATAAAAAAAATATACTTTATACCACATATTAAACTTAGCTTTAAAATGAATTCCATCCTCACAACCTTTAAAGCATGATGCTGCTTCCACCATGTTTTATTGTGCAAATAATGTGGTTAGGATGATCAGAGTACTGTTCATGTCACCTCTTTGCTTTTAATGTGTCAATGATCTGGTCTTTAATGATATCTCTAATTGTTAAATTTAACATCAAATGTTCAAAGCCTCAGATTTCACCATGACATTTTTTAATAAACCAGGAAGGCACCAAATTGGAAGTGGTAAATTTCAAAACTTCCCAAAGACACACAAAATGTTTAAAATACTGTTATTTAAAGGGGAAGTACTTCCAAAACTTGCTCTTTAGTTGCCTCCTCAATGAACTGTTAGATGATAAAAAAAAAATTAAGGAACTGAAACTAACAATTTCAAGCATGACTCTGCTGGGAATTATTTGAATTCAGTTTTCAATTTCAAAACTGATATTTGTGAAACACAAGCTTCCACTTCAAACGCAAGATCAATGAGAGAGATTTGTTGGATGAAAGTCATTAGATTCTTCATCTGTCCTGAAACCACAGCCCCGTGAGGTGATATTCAGGAGTTATAGCTTTTAGTAAAGGCATGTGAAACCTGTATGGAAAATCTTTACATATATGCGGTCTCTGAGATAAAAAACAAAGTGAACAAAGGAACTTCTGTGAAATAAAACTTTCCAATTAGGAAACAACGATGACTGACGATCAAATTCACATGATGTTATGCAAATGGTATAAACAACAGGTGGAAATTGTTGGCACTTAACAAGAAACACTCAATAAAGGAGTGGTTCTGCAGGTGGGGAACAATGACCACTCCTCGGTAGCTATGCTCTCTGGCTGATGTTTTGGTCACATTTGAATGTGTGTGGTGCTTTTACACTCATGGTAGTGGTTTTTCCTGGGTTCCTCCTAATGCAGGACAATGCTAGATCTCATGTGGCTGGAGTGTGTCAGCAGTTCCTGCAAGATGAAGGCACTGAAAAAATGGACTGGCCCGCTATTCCCCAGCCCTGAATCCGATTGAACACTTCTAGGACCAATGTCACCTTAGACCACAGACTGTCCAGGAGTTGGTGGCTGCTTTAGTCAAGATTTGGGAGGAGATCCCACAGGAGACCATTCGCCACCTTATGAGGAGCATGTCCAGGCGTTGTAGGGAGTTCATACAGGCATGTATTTTGTGATTTTGTCGTCAGCACATTCAACTTTATACAGAACAAAGGATTCAGTGAGAACATGTCATTCATTCAGATCCAGGATGTGTAATTTGATTCTTGAGTCTTATTTTTTTTGAGCATGTGTAAGTATATTAATGCATATATTGGTATATGATATTTTATCTTATTTTTGTTTTGTTTTGTTGGAGCCTGTGTTCTCATGTTTTGTTTTTCTTTGATACACAATTGATATAAAGCATTAAAACTCAACACTGCCCCTCATTTGCATGTCTTGCCACTGTTGTAATTGTTACACATTTTGTAATAATAGCTCTTAATATTGATACAGGACCTTTTAAAATTACAGATTTTCTATTCAGCAACATTACATGTTTTTTTTTCTATTTTGAATACTAGTGAAGGAAGCTGGGCTTCTTTGTCTTATTCATATTTTATACAGAAGGAAACTAGGAAGCCATGAATTAGCAATTCAGTGTTTCTAGATTCTAAATTCAGTTTAATCTAGAAATGTCAATATAAAATACCAGAATTTTCTTTGTTTTTATATTTTAATTTACTCTCATCAAATGATCACAAAATGAAAAAAAAAATTTTCACTGTTCCTGGTTTACTTGCTCTTAAGTCTGCAAACTGATTGCTGTAATTGTGGATTTTCAGGATAGGTTACAAACTGTGCAGCTTAAGAGTAGGACAGGTGTATTCTGTTTCAGACACCTGCAGCTCACTGATTTTTACTTCTTCTGAGTGACGCTAAAAGCCTGAAGAAAACCAGCCTTACAGCTTTTTTCAAATGCTAGCGATATTAAGCTTTAGTGAAAGTTTAGCCTGGAAGTCCTTCTGACATCCCACGCTCAAGCTTCAGCCAATCGACGAGGAGCCGTACCCTCTCCAAAGCCAATCATTTCTCAAGATGCTCTTCATTAAGATGAAGGCCCAGCTTCCCCATTCAGCGCTTCAGCTGAACTTTGAACCACCTCCACCCCATCTCCTCCTTCTCTCATAGCCCATTCTTAGACCCTCTCATTCTCAGGGTTATTCCACCAGCAGTGTTCGGGCCCCAGGGGAAAGAGACCACTCTAATCCTCTTCATAGGTTACTCATCCAAGCCAAGGCTTCTGCTGTGGCCCAACACCAAAGATCCTATCTTGTTTTATCCTATCTTGATGGCCCCTCACACTGAGCCTGGTTCTGCTGGAGGTTTCTTCCTGATAAAAGGGGGTTTTCCTCTCCACTGTCGCTACAGGCATGCTTGATGTGAGGGATTGCCTTCGAGTCGATGCAATCAGCTGGTTTTCCTTAGATAGTAAATTGTAACCAATCTGACTGTGTTACTTGCAAATAAATTGAATAAACTTTTTCTATTTGTATCTTTTCCCCGTCTGAGTCTTTCCAGGTTGAAATGATAGCACAACTGAGTATTATTTTTAAAAGTGCAATTAATGTTATAAATGGCTGATACTGTAAGACCAGCCTCAATGCATTACACCTGCTCTTTTATTTCCCGATACTGAGCTGAGTTTAAGCTGTGGAGGTCAGATCAACCTAAATAACTCCTTTTTGAAAGATTCAAGCATGAAAAGGGAGGCAGAAATATTGTGACAAAGCCTGTAATGTTTACTCTTGCTTAACTGACAGCTCACTTTAGGGAGTGGAGAGTATTAAAGTTTATTCAGGCA